TTTGAAAGGTATGTCCTTTTTATTGTAATTCAACTTCCACCCAGTGAACACCCAAGTGAATTGACTGCAGGGTGTGCTGTAAATCCCACAAATGGCAGATTTACTACAGTAATAATTATTTATGTAGTGGATTTCCTACATGTTCCAAACACTTCCTATTAGGAACCTGCTACAGATTTAGTCAAATCCTCCATCAAACTCAACCATTTTGGAGCCCATTCTATGATTCCATAAGTTGAACAAAATCCTTACAAATTTCTTGAATTAAGAATCTAATAGTACTTTATGAGCAATTTTCCACTTTCAGCAAAAAGGCACTCTTTATAGGTGCAAATTTCATGTTTTGCTTTTTGAGAATTAGATGAAAAGGGAGAAGAGTCATCTTGATGGCTAGCAGGTCTAGCAGATCTAATCAGGCTCAAGGTTCTTCAATGTCAGTTAATTTTGAATCAGTTATAGAAGTATAATTTAGTTCTGTCTCAAGACAGCTCCCCATACACACTAATTTTACTTTAAAACCAGAATACGAAGGAGCTTTGTACTATGATTTCTGTCTATATCCCTCTATAGGGAAGGTGGCATTCCCACAGATAGAGACACATTTCATCCTATTCTGTTAATAAATTGAAGTAAGTTCTTATGCCTAGGCAAATGGGAATGTAAATCTACACAGAACCAGGCCTTAATCAGGTAAATTCTGTTCAATTCAAGGGCAAATGGCTATTTCCTGAAACATTAAATCAACTCCAGACAAAAACTTGGGGTTGAAAGATATTTGCATATGTTTCGACAAATCTTTAGCAACTCCATAGTATGGGCAGTATTTTTATCCCATAAACCAAGAGGGATACACCTCTCAAAACTGTGCCCCATTATTCTATCTCCTTTCCTGCCTGTTAGGACAAGAAAGACAATAATTCTGCTGAGGAAGAAAGAAAAAAATATTTCTCTCTTTTTCCTATTTCTTAAAGGAATAGCCACTGCTTGGACAATTTGATAACTTTGTCCATTGTTAATGGAATCTGAACTGATGATCTTCAATGACTAGAATATCTCTGTGTTTGAATGAAGCAGACCACATTAAAATGCTATTTGAAGAACCAATTGTCTTTATTTATTTATTTATTTATTGGTTCGATTTATATGCTGCCCTTCTCTGTAGTAAATAAAGCCCCCCTCATTTGTGATCTTGTTCAGGAGGGGGGGAGCGGACCTGGCAGGTATTACGGAAACCTTGTTGGGCCAAGAGGGGGGGTCCCTCTCATTGAAATGTGCCCACCAGGTTTCCGCGCATTCCATCGGCCGAGGTTGCAGGGTAGGGGCGGGGGGGGGGGGTAGCGGTTATTATTAACGAAGGTCTGAGACCGAGGGAGGCCACTGTTCCTCAGACGGCCGGCTGTGAATCCCTCCTTGTGAAATGGGGTCACGGGGTTCATATGGGTTTGCTGATCATGTACCTGGCTCCCTGCCGTGTGGCAGCAGCCCTGCCCGAGCTACTCGGCGTCATCGCCGCAGTGGCGGTTGAGACCCCTAGACTTATGGTCATGGGGGATTTCAACTTGCCGTCCGTGGGTGAGGCATCTGAGGTGGCTCGGGAGTTCATGGCTTCCATGACAGCCATGGACCTGACCCAGTTAATTCATGGCCCTACCCACACGGGGGGAAACACGCTGGATCTGGTTTTTGTCTCTGGACAGTGGTTGAGTGATCTTGAGATAGGGGATATAGTTACCGAGCCCTTGTCATGGTCAGATCACTCTTTCCTTCGTCTTGACCTCCGAACTGCTGCACCCCGCCGCAGGGGTAAGATGGTTCCGCCCCAGGCGCCTGATGGAACCTGATAGGTTCCAGATGGAGCTTGGGCCATTTCCTGAGGCTCTGGCACACGCCTCGGCTGGAGACCTAGTGGCTGCCTGGGATAGGGCGGCCGCTGGACCTCTGGACCGGGTCGTGCCTTTGCGGCCTCTGACCCGGCGCCAATCTCATTTGGCTCCTTGGTTTACTGAGGAGCTAAGGGAGTTGAAGCGCCGGAAAAGACGTCTAGAGAGTAGTTGGAGGGCCAGTCTTTCAGAATCGGACCGGACACTGGTAAGATCTCATATTATTAGGAATTACCTAGTGGCGATAAAAGCAGCAAAATGTAGCTATTTTGCTGCTCTTATTGCGTCATCAGATAACCGCCGGCCGCCCTGTTTAGGGTGACCCGCTCCCTGCTCCATCAGGAAGCGCGGGAGGACCCCTTGGAGGGTAGAGCCGAGGATTTTGTTCAGTATCTGCATGACAAAATCACTCAGATCCGGGAAGATTTGGACTCCGACTGGGTAGTCTCAGGGGAAGGGACTGGGGCAGGTCTTGAGAATGTTATCTGGGATGAGTTTGATCCTGTGACCCCTGAGGACGTGGACAGGATTCTGGGTAGACTGAATGCGACCACTTGTTTATTGGACCCCTACCCCTCCTGGTTAGTGCTGGCTTCCCGGGAGGTGACGCGAGGCTGGCTCCAGGGGATTATAAATGCTTCATTGGGTGAGGGTGACTTCCCCGCCGCCTTGAAAGAGGGGGTGGTGAGGCCTCTCCTCAAGAAGCCTTCCCTGGACCCAGCAGTGTTGGCTAATTATCGTCCGGTCTCCAACCTTCGTTTTGTGGCGAAGGTTGTTGAGAGTGTGGTTGCGCGACAGCTCCCCCAGTACCTGGATGAAACGACGTATCTGGATCCGTTCCAGTCGGGCTTCAGGCCTGGGTTCAGCACGGAAACGGCATTGGTCGCATTGGTTGATGATCTCTGGAAGGCTCGGGACAGGGGCTGCTCCTCTGTCCTGGTCCTATTAGATCTCTCAGCGGCTTTTGATACCATCGACCATGGTATCATGCTGCACCGGCTGGAAGAGTTAGGGGTGGGGGGCACTGTTCTACGGTGGTTCTCCTCCTTTCTCTCTGACTGGTTGCAGTCTGTGTTGGCAGGGGGGCAGAGATCGTCCCCGAGGCCCCTCGTATGTGGGGTGCCACAAGGGTCGGTCCTCTCACCCCTTCTGTTCAACATTTATGTAAAGCCGCTGGGCGAGATCATCCGTGGTTTCGGGGTGAAGTTCCATCAGTACACTGATGATACTCAGTTGTACATCTCCACCCCAGACCACCCCAACGATGCCCTTGAAGTGATGTCCCGGTGTCTGGAGGCCGTGCGGATCTGGATGGGGAGGAACAGGCTCAGGCTCAACCCATCCAAGACTGAGTGGCTGTGGTTTCTGACGTCCCGATATAGTCAGTTGACACCATCGCTGACTATTGGGGGCGAATCGCTGGCCCCACGGAGAGGGCTCGCAACTTGGGTGTCCTCCTGGATTCACGGCTGTCTTTAGAAGAGCACCTGACGGCCGTGACCGGGAGGATTTTTCATCAGGTTCGCCTGATCCGCCAGTTGCGTCCCTTTCTGGATCGGGACTCCCTACACACAGTCACTCATGCCCTCATCACCTCCCGCCTGGATTATTGTAATGCTCTCTACATGGGGCTCCCCTTGAGGAGCACGCGGAGGCTCCAACTGGCGCAGAGTGCGGCCACGCAGGTGGTTATGGGAGCAACATGGCACTCCCGTGTAACACCTCTCCTGCGCGAGCTGCACTGGCTCCCGGTGGTCCTCCGTGTGTGCTTCAAGGTTTTGGTTACAACCTTTAAAGCGCTCCATGGCTTAGGACCTGGTTATTTACGGGACCGCCTACTACCACAAATAGCCTCATGGGTACGCTCTCATAGAGAGGGTCTCCTCCGGGGGCCGTCAGCCAAGCAGTGTCGACTGGCGTCCCCCAGGGGGAGGGCCTTCTCTGTGGGGGCACCCACTATCTGGAATGAGCTCCCCCCGGAGATACGGAGGATCCCGGATCTGCGCACCTTCTGCCATGCTCTTAAGACCCTCTTATTCCAGCAAGCTGGCCTGGCCTAATTTTTCTCCCCTTTTTTAAATTTTAAATTGAAATTTTAATTGGTTTTAAATTCATTGGGATTTTAATTGTCGTGGGCCAATATTATTTAATTTGGTTTTAAATTGTTTTAACTTTTGTATTTCTGTATTTTATCTTGTGCCTGTTCACTGCCCTGAGTCCTTCGGGAGTTGGACGGTATACAAATTTAATAAAACTAAACTAAACTAAACTAAACTTCTCCGGAGACTCAGGGCAGCTTACAATGCGTTAAGCAATGGCCTTCATACTTTTGAATATACCTGCTTAGTAGGGCTTTCGGCCCCCCCTGAGCGGTGTTCTTTTTTATACAAAGTCAGCTTATTGCCCCCACAATCCGGGTCCTCATTTTACTTACCTCGGAAGGATGGAAGGCTGAGTCAACCTTGAGCTGGTGAGATTTGAACTTGCAGTAATTGCAGGCAGCTGGCAGCTAAGTGCTACTTTAACAGCACTTTAGTCCGCTGTGCCACCAAGGCTCTTCAGTTATTTCTGCCTGTCTGGTACATTGATTGCACCAATGGAACAATCAGGCAGAGTGGGTATGCTCCAGCTACCATCACTTATGAGTTATCAACTTGTGGGACCCAGAAGGTGTGCCTTCTCAGTCACAGCACCTGTCCTCTGGAAAGGTGCCCCCCCCCGAGATTCTCCCAGGCTTTGGCCCAGAGTGAAGGTCAACCCTCTGATGGGTGGATTTTCACTGTTTTTTCTGGGACCATTCATGATTCTTTCTTCTATTTTGTATTTTCTTTAATACCTAATTATAAACTGCCCAGAGCTTGGAGTTGGGCATGAATGGGTGAATAAATTAAATAATGCTTCAGTTATCCAAAAAAACAACATATACCAAGGGAATTTGGCACATTGAATGCAATTCAACTTATTTCTGAATAAACATTACACAGGTTTTGTAAGCCTTCACACTGCCCTTCCCAGACTTCTCAATTTTTAGTAAGGAATAAGAACTAAAGTTGCCTGTGTGAACATTTAAAAATAGGAATTCGAGTTGTTCTTTTGCCTTTATAATAAATTATCCCATACCTTTTAGGGTGGAGTGCATATTTTCTTTACATTAATTACAATGAGAGGTTTCCTTATACACGTCACTGATGTTTGAGAATAAAGCTTCCCCTGTGGAAACAAAATGAAACATTTCCTAAACATGCTTCTCTTTCCCTATTTCAAGTGAGTTGCACGTGCCTGGGATTTCTTCACTTCTGATTAAGTCATTACTCAGGACATTAATAAAGGTAATTTAGCGATTCAAGTGTTTTTCAAATTTAATATACAAAAGTTTCATTAACTTCTGCGGTTGAAACAGCTCCTTTAAATGTGTCTACCAAAAAGAAGTCTGACTTCCTCATGAACCACAGTATTGCACAGTGCCCACCAGCGGTGGGTTTCTACTAGTTCGCCCTAGTTCGGGCGAACCGGTAGTGGTGGTGGCAGGAGGCTCTGCCCACCCACCTGGACATCATCATGGAAGGTTCTGAAGTGCCGCATGTGAGCGAAGCGAGCGCGTGTGCGTATGCTCACAGTTCCAAACCAGTAGTGAAAGTAAGTGGAATCCACTACTGGTGCCCACCACCTTTCAACCAATTGCCAAGGATGCTCCTGATTGTAGAAAAGTTAAGCATAATCTAGAAAGCCTGTACAAGTTTCATCATATATTTATTTATTTTTTTCACGGGTATGTATGTGTGTATAGTTAATATTTCGGGTTTCTTCCCGTGTAATTGTGAATATATCCCTAAAGGGTAGAAGCGACGTTTCGGCAGAATCCCATCTGCCATCATCAGGCTACCAGCACCAGATTTGAAATACCAACATCAGTTAGTGCAAAATGACTGCTGACATAAGCCTGATGATGGCAGATGGGATTCTGCCGAAACGTCGCTTCTACCCTTTTAGGGATATATCCACAATTACACGGGAAGAAACCCGAAATATTAACACACACACACACACACACACACACACACACACACACACACACACACACACATATATATATATATATATATATATATATATATATATATATATATATATATATATATGTAGGTCTTTGGTTATTCGGGTTTTCTCCCACGTAAAATTCGAAGTGTCTTGGTGACGTTTCGACAAAGTCTCATTCGTCATCTTCAGGCTGGTGTATTCGGCTTCGTGCTTCTAGGAGCAATGTGTGATCACAGCTGTTTCTTCCTTTTAACTACCAGTGGGGGTGTGAACTGATTGGGCGGGAGCTTGGCTGTGTTCTGATTGGCTGGAGGTGTGTTCTGATTGGTTGGGGGGTTGGCTGTGCTCTGATTGGCTGGGGGTGTGTTCTGTTTAGGTGGGGGCTTGGTTGTGCTCGGGATAGTCTGAGTGGTAGGGGGATTTGAGCTGGTGAGCTGCGTTGCTGTTGTTTGGCTTCGTGTTCATCGTCATGCCACATCTCATAGTGGGTGTCAGTTTGCTTCATGTATGGATTGGAGGGGTTTAAAGTGGCTAATGATGCAGCTGAGGTCTGGCTTCTGGTTTGTGGTCGTGCCTCATCGGTGTGGGTTTGCTTTTTGCGTGGATGTGTGGTGGTGACATCCTGTGTGGTTTTTGTGAGTGTGGGTCTGGTGTCATTCTTTGTGTTAGGGACTCGTTTGTCAATGAGGGCGGGTTTCCAAATGGCTGGTAGGCGGGAGGTATCATCTCATTTATTCATGCTGTGTGGGCGTTTTTCTATCTTGATGGCTTCTCTGATTATTCTGTTGTTAAAGTGTTCAGTTTTGGCGATAGTTCTGGTCTTTTTAAAGTCAATATCATGTCCTGTGGCTTTAAGGTGTTGGACCAGGGAAGAAGTTGGTTCCTCTTTTCTGACTGAGTTTTTGTGTTCTTCAATGCGTGCACTTATTCTTCTGTTGGTTTGTCTGATGTATGTGGTGGGGCAGGCAGTGCATGGGATTTCATATACTCCTTGATTTTCTAACTCAATTTTGTCTTTGGGGTTTCTTAGGATGGTGGATATTTTTCAGTTTGTGCAGAACACTATCTTGATGTTGTGTTTGTGGACGATCTTGCTGATTCTGTCTGTGGTGCCTTTTATGTATGGGAGGAGGGCTTTGTCGTTTTCTTGTTCTCTGTCTTGAGTTTTATTGGGGGTTTCTTTTTGGATTAGGTTGGTAATCTTATTTCTTTGGAATCCGTTGGATGTTAGTACATTAGTGAGAGTGTGTAGTTCGGTTTTTAGGTGTTGTTCATCAGCTAAGCGTTTTGTTCTGGAGATGAGTGTCTTGGCTATGGAGTTGATCTGTGCTGGGTGGTGGTGTGAGAGTGCGTGCAGATAGCGGTTTGTGTGTGTTTTCTTCTGGTAGATGGTGTGTCCTAGGGAGCCATAGGATTTCTTGTAGACTAAGACATCCAGGAAGGGAAGACAGAATCCCCCTACAACTCAGACTAACCCAAGCACAACCAAGCCCCCACCTAAACAGAACACACCCCCAGCCAATCAGAGCACAGCCAAACCCCCAACCAATCAGAACACACCTCCACCCAATCAGAACACAGCCAAGCTCCCACCCAATCAGTTCACACCCCTACTGGTAGTTAAAAGGAAGAAACAGCTGCGATCACACATTGCTCCTAGAAGCACGAAGCCGAAAACACCAGCCTGAAGATGACGAATGAGACTTCGTCGAAACGTCGCCAAGACACTTTAAATTTTACGCGGGAGAAAACCCGAATAACCAAAGACCTACATACAAACACCCACGAAAAGCTCCGAAAACAAGCTCTCTACCTTGTCATCATCTTACCTTGTCGAAAGGTTGCCTAACCTTAAAGTGTTGGTTAGGATTTCAGCCAGAGTTTTTGAAAGACCTTAAAAAGGTTTTTGTTTGGGAATTTAGAGGATTCTGAGCTGTGATCTTAGCCAGGATTTTAAACATTTTAACTAACAAACTTATAATGACGCGGGAAAACACCCGAGATTTTAACTTGTTTAACTTCTTCCCACTTCAGGACTCCATAGTCTCATCCCAAATCTCCCTCTTTAACGTTTCCTTCCTTCCATTCTCAATCACTCTCTCATGCCTTTCCTACAGTCAGCTCTAAGTTCTTTTATTAATGCAGAGGGCTGAGGCATCTCAAGAAAAAAATGTGGGTAAGTGGAGAAAAACAAAAACACAAGAGGCAGGAGCTATGGTCAGATGGCATACATTTATGTGGTTAACTATGATTCTCCCAAGTTACTTAAGTTTCCCTGTTCACATAGCATCCTGAATTAGCCAGAGGTAAGTTTATGCAATTACTAAAATATAATTAGTTAGCTAATGATTCAAAGTACTGAATAAACTCAGACTGTAAAAGTGCTGTGGGAATGAATGAAAATGAATAAAAATGAACAGTAGATATGGTTGAATAAGATAGGTATATTTCAGGACAAATTTGACTTGGTGGGGGGAAAATGGTTACAAAGACATGGGCTTCTGTTTGAGAACCATAATTCACATTCAGAGCAAATTCTATTTCTTTTCTTATTTCTGTTTGTGTTTTAGTGTATGAAATACATGGCTTTGTAGTATGGTTACCCCTTTTTTCTCTAGTAAGAATTCTTGTTTTTAGAAAAGGTAGTTTGAAATTTTAGCCCATATTTCATTTAAAACAAGAGTTGAATTTGCCGCAACTACTACAAGCACATAGCCCTGTTGACAAATAAGTAGGCAGCCCTAAGTTGTGTCAGGAATCAGGCAGTACAGCTTGCAATCACCTATTTCTAGCCGCCTACGTGTGTAGATCTCAGGCCTTTCCTGGCAAACAAGTCCTTTTGCTTGATTAAGCTGAGTCCACCATTGCTAAAGCAGGTGGATCTGGCTGCTGATAATATTATCTTTAGGTAAATGACCTTGATTGCCAACCTATTGCTATGTTGTTAAGGCTCAGCATTTTAGTCATCAGGTAGTTAATCGTTTGTTTTTAAAGGGAGAACTGTTCCTTATTACTTTTCACCGGGAAACATGAAACAGTTCACGAGTGTTCAACCTTATCTTGAAATGCTATCTGATTTCAGTCTGAATTTTGAAAAAAAAGCAAGGAAAATTGATTGTTTTCCTTTTTAAGGAAATATCTTTATTTCTGCAATGCTATGTACTTTTTAAAAAAAAAAAAATTATAAGCAGCCACACTATATCACACAGATTAAGTTAAACTTTTGAGAGCCTATGGGTTTGCAATCAAGGTCATTTTGAGGATTTGAGGATTCTTTTTTTTTAATGTCTTCGACTTTTCTAATGGCTTACACCTCGTCTAAAAATCAAAGAGGACTTGCATGTCTGTATCTTGACATTGTGTTGATATTATCATACATCTAGCAGAGTCAGATGGGTAAAATGGTTGCTGCCCCAGACTTTTTCTTTGCTTTTTTCATGTGAAAAAAACTTCATTTCTTAATAAATCTAATTGTATTTCAAATATAATGTATGTCAATTGCATTCATTGATAGTTTGAACAAAACCATCTTATACATTCAAGACAACTCTATTATGAGCATTTTTCTTTTAATGGGTCATTCTGCTACTTATGTGCTTGGTATTATTTCAGCCTTCTGCTAGAAAATTGCAAATAAACTGTAAATCTGGATGAAAGAATAAAATGTAGAATATTCCTTGGAAACTGAGTGATGCTACATTTACCTAACATGGTGAGTTCTTTCTCTTTATAAACAGAATTTGAGGTTCTTGATAGAAGTTTTTGATAGAAGTTTAACAGTCAGTAAGGATATATATTACTCTGGAGTAGTATTTAGCCAAACATCCATTTCAGTTGAATGATTGGAAAAGAAGTCAACTAGATTACAGAAGAAGATTTTTCTTCTGGGTTACTACCACATTGGTATTTAATGCTACACAGTATGCTTAATCCAGAAAATGACTGAAATAGTCTTGACAACCATGTTGTGTGTGCTTTAAGAACCAGATATGCTGGAATACATGTATTTTATCTGCTTGAAATGTTCAGGGAATTAAGGAAATTAACACTGTCTAATAATTCTGATGTACAGTAATTCTGGTGTAAATCAGTATTTAGAAGTGCATTGGAAAGTGAAATGTTGTGCATTTCAACCAAGTATTCTTCCTCATAAAATCCCTTCAGTGTCTCTT